TTAATTCCTTTTAGGTATTTTAACGTTCTTTTATAAATAAGTTTTTTGTTACTTCATAATGCCTCGCAAACGTAAGTCCAGCCTTTCAAGAGTATCTTCTCAAAGACAAGCGAAAAGATTAGCTCGATCGCTAGAATCTTTAGAAGATGCTGAACTGAGAAGGCAAGAACAAGCAGAGCGTCAGGCTGCTTTTAGAGCATCTGAGACACCTTCTCAACGTCAGCAAAGGCATCTTGAACAGGCAGAGCGTCAGGCTGCTTTAAGAGCTTCCGAAACACCTTCTCAAAGTCAGCAAAGGCGTCTTGAACAGGCAGAGCGTCAAGCTACTTTAAGAGCTTCTGAAACACCTTCTCAAAGTCAGCGAAGGCGTCTTGAACAGGCAGAGCGTCAAGCTACTTTAAGAGCTACTGAAACACCTGCTCAAAGTCAGCAAAGGCGTCTTGAACAGGCAGAGCGTCAAGCTACTTTAAGAGCTACTGAAACACCAGATCAAAGTCAGCAAAGGCGTCTTGAACAGGCAGAGCGTCAATCTACTTTAAGAGCTACTGAAACACCTGCTCAAAGTCAGCAAAGGCTATTCGAACAAGCGGAACGTCAGGCCGCCTTAAGAGCCGCGGAAACACCTGATGAAACTCAACACAGACTCATTGAGCAAGCTGAACGTCAATCTACTATAAGGGCATCTGAATAACCAGAACAGACACAGGCGCGAAGAGAAGTGCACAGCTCCAAGCTGAACGTCGGCAAAATTTTCAAAGAAACAATTGGTCGGTTTTTAATGACGCAGCATTCAATTATGATCCGTTGATTGATTATAAAAATCGCAGGTTAGTTGTTATCGGACTAATGGACAAGGCGTGTCGATTTTGCAGCGCTTTAAAATGGAAAGATGAGACCGCATGCATGTGCTGTTCCAATGGCAAAGTGTCTCTTCCTTTACTTGGGGAACCAGAAGAACCTTTGAAAACTTTCTTTTTATATGATGCTAATGAGTCACGGCGCTTTTTAAACAGGATTAGGAATAGTGTACAGTTAGTTTTTTTTTTTTCAAAAATTCACACAGTCAATTAATCAGAATTCCCACAGATCTTCCCTTTCAATTCTAAATTTCCCATTTAGCTCAGTTTCTTTTCAATTCCAAATGCTGCATCTCTGACGGATCTTTTATTTGGCTCAGTATCCTTTCAATTCAGAAAACTGCATCTTTGACGAATCAATTTAGCTCAGTTTCTTTTCAAAAGTCTGCATCCCTGACGGATAATTATGCTCAGTTTCCTTTAATTAAAAAATATCCCATTTCCATTTGGAATAAACAGGCTATTTTCATGCTTTCCTATACGCTGCGTTTCAAAACATTTAAATAGGCTCACGAATCAATTTTGCTCAGTTTCCTTTTAATGGCTGCATCTCTGACAAATCTATAAAACTCAGTTTTCTTTCAATTCAAAAAACAATGGATAGTTCATTTCCCAGTGACCATGCGGGCGAAGCCACGGGTAACAGCTAGTATATAAATAGATTTATGAGTGAAGATCCCAAATAGAATGCAACATTTTTACGATGACTGGTTAAAAGAAACGCCTGGGTTTAAAGCCTGGGTCACTCTTAGTAAAAAAGGTGAATGTTTTGCATTTTGTAAATACTGCTTGACGGATCTTTCTGTAGGAAATGGTGAATAAAAAGATCTTTATAAACATATGACATTCATTAAACATCAAAAATCCGTTCATAGCAACAGCCATAGATCATCATCATTGTAGACTTTTGCCAATACGTACGATAGTGCATAGAAAGTTGAAATCTTACTTTCTGCTTTTATTGCCGAGTATAATTCAGCCATGAATATTATGGAGCATCTGCCACAGTTAATTAAATAAGCCCAAAAGAAATGACTTGTGGAACGACTAAAATCACGGCTATTATAAAGGCAGTTTCTGGAAAAACAGGAAAGAACATTGCCGAAAGAATAATTTTTGCATCAAATACCATTGTATGGTAGCAAGAATATATAAAGATAGCAAAGTTGTCGACTCGTTTTTGGGTCTTATCCCGCTTCAAAATAATACAGCTCAAACTTCAAAATGCTACAGCACAAACACTCTATGAACACATATTGTTCTTTAACTAAAATGACATTTCTTACATAGAAAACATGATTGGGTTAGCGGCAGATTGTGCAAACGTCATGATGGGTTATCTCAACTCTTTATCAACAAGGTTTCAAGGAGATGTTCAGCATTTGTATGTAGTCAAATACATCTGTCACTTATTTCATCTATGTGCCTCCTGTTTGCTTGAAATTACCAAGAGAACCGGAATATTTAATCAGAGATATCTATAACTATATTAACACCAGCCCGAAAAGAAGTACACTTTTTTATGGGATAGGGTGACACACGAGCACACAGTCCACCTGATGGTAAGTGGTTGCTGTGGCCCATAGACATCTACATCTATCCTCGATTACGAATAAAAATGCAGATGCGCCGTCGGTTCCCCACACTCACCATACGAAACACAGCAACATTAAGCTACTGTTTTACGCTGGTATTCTGTGAGAGCTTGGTCTTTCCCCGGTCGAGCCGACCCATTTGTGCTACAACTATACTACTAATATAACTGCAACATGACTCTACAACTTTTCAAGGATTTTCAAGAGAATTTAAACATAAAATCCAATAAGATACTACATCCATGGTGATCGCTTCGTGCTGCAGTTTTCCGACTGCTGGAGCAGTATGATGCACTAATTTTATTCCTTACTGACGCTGCGTTAACGGAGCAATTAACGACAGCAGATAACATATTTCAAATATTAAACCCGTACAATGAACTCTATCTAGCGTATTTAGAGTTTTCCCTTGGGATGTTTAATTATTTAAATAAAATATTTCAATCTGAACGCCCCCAGATCCACAAACAACACGAAAATATTTGCCAATGAAACATAAATCTTTTGGACTGCTTTATAAATGAATCGTACTTATCTCGTACTAACTTGCAAAATGTTGATTTCATCAATCCAAGAAATTTTAAACCCATAGACGGAATTTACCTTGTCGCAAAAGTAAAAATTTCATTAACATCAAATACGAGTATAACTGCTAACGATATTAAAGCGTTTAAGCTGCTCTACCTTGAATTTTACATCGAAGGAGCACAAAATAGGAGTACAAAACTGATGACAAAGTTGCAATTAAATTAGAATTTCTAAATCCGGATGTCGTCAAATAGCGGAAAATATTATCTCTAGTTGAGACAGCTCTTTTGTTCCCAAATCTATTAAATATCAAAGACAACGGGCATTAGACACAGAATGGAGAAACTTGAGAAATAACGTCACTCCACTCAATAGGTTCGATTGCTTTGGAAGAATACAGGAAGAAAATCATAACAACCACCAATCCAACGGATGAGAACGTGTTGTATCCGACTTCAGGCAGAATTGTTTCGGAATTGATGTGTTTGCCTCATTCAAGTTGAGCGAATTTTGTTTGCTACCTATTAATCTAATGAAAAACAAGCAACTAAATCAACTCTCAACAAAGACAATCAAAGGATTCCTTCATACAAAACAATTGTTAGGAAATACACCGTGTATGATTTAAATCTAAATAACTTTTACTTTTAATTTTATGTTTGTTTTGTACGGATTTCGTACGGAGTGTCAGATTTATTGCACGTACAGGTTGGCAACACTGCTATCACTGTGCCATAGTTAGTTTATAACATCTCAACTTCGCGGATACTGCTACAATCATACGGCCATCCCTTCAATACCAAATAGTAATTTTGTGTAAAATCACGAGTAAAATTAACGAGCGACATATAATTTTCGATTATTCGAGTGTGTAATGAGTGATTTCATGCCTCAATCACCTCCTTGTTGTATATCCTCAAGTTCTGAGTTCCACAGATTCTTTTTTTTTTATATATATCTAATATATAAAATTCTCGTGTCACAGTTTTCGTTGCCATACTCCTCCGAAACGGCTTGACCGATTTTGATGAAATTTTTTGTGCTTATCCGGTATCTATGAGAATCGGCCAACATTTATTTTTCATCCCCCTAAATGTTAGGGGTAGTCCACCCCTAAATTATTTATTTAATTTTTTAGACAAAATTTTTAATTTCTATTTTTTTATGATACAACATACAAAAATACATACAATCCTCAATTTTCACCCTTCTACGATCAACCCTTATTTTTTAATAGCCATTTTAGTAATTTAATCATTTTTCCTCTCCGGTCGAAAACTGATCAATCGTCATTTAATTAGTTATCCCCGCCGTCTACAGGTGTCACTTCTGACCCAGTAAACAGCACGGAGTAGGGATGAGAACGAAGCCGGTCTCCTTTCTTTCTCACTCCCTACACAGTTGTCGGCCATCATTATTGTTTATGCATCAAGTGTAGTAGTAACGTTGACAATTATTATTTTGCTATCTCAGTGTAACTCTCATATTAACTTTTAATCATTCCTATTTTATCAATAATAATTAAATTATCAATTTTGACTGTATTTTGCACGATTAGTTAATCAAGTGATTTTATAACCTCAAAAGTACTCAACACGTGACACGAGCTTCCAATAACAACGGATTTTGTGTTGTAAGTATACTTTTTTATTTATATCGAAAATGTTGTTGATCTTATAAAAATGTAATTTTAATTTAATTTTATTAAAAAAATGTAATTGAACAATTAAGATTTTCATAGTTTCCAAAAAATCAATCATTATGAATCTTTATTTTGAAATGTCAATGGAAATATTGGTTGTATGAAAAAATTATAAGAGACAATGTTTTCATAAAATTTAATTTTTTACTTTTGTTTGAAAATTTTTCCATAAAACTTATATTTTTGTTATAATTTCATAAATTAAAACTAATCATTTCAAAACTGCGGCAAAAATCCTGGCCCTAATTATACTTTTAACATTTTTCATCATTAAATAATTTCATTAATTCTATTTATGTATGTTTTGTACAGTGAGCAATGCCAAGAAAACGCAAAGGGGCTGATTTGAGCCGCAGTACAAGTAAAGCTCGAAACTTGCGAAATAGCAGATCCGAAAGAACAGAAGAACAAATCCAGCAACAAAATACTGATGCACGTGTCAGAATGGCGCAATTGCATCAAGAAGAGCCAGAAGATACACGAGCTGAACGCAATGAAGTCAGAAGATTAGAACAACGACAATCACGCCGTTTCACAGTCAGTAGACGAAGAACAAATGACCAACAACGACAACAGGTACATCGAGCATTTATATCTGATTCATTCCTGCGTCTAGCATTCCAGTATGAGCCCGATATTGAATATTATGCTCATTCAAAAGTGGTAATTGGTGCTATGGACAAGGAATGTCCGCATTGTCATGCTCTGAAATTCAAAAATGAGCCAGCTGCGATATGTTGCGCGTCAGGAAAAGTGCAACTACCTGAAATTGAAACACCACCTGAACCATTGAACGGCTTACTTATCGGCCCGGATCCAGATTCTAACGTGTTCCTGAAGTCAATTCGAAGATTCAATTCATGCTTTCAAATGACATCGTTCGGAGCAACAGAAATAGTTCGAAATACCAATGCAAATGGTCAACAATTCAATTCTACATTCAAAATCAGAGGCCAAGTTTATCATAAAATGGGCTCACTGCTGCCAATGCCAAACGAACCACATAAATTCTTACAAATCTACTTTATGGGCGGCGAGGATTCCGGAAGCGCACTTGCCAATCGCGTGAATGCACGTTGTGATTATAATAACCTTGATTCACTTTATGCCAGGCGCATCGTCAGCGAGCTAGATGCTCTTTTGAACGAGCACAACGAGTTGTTGAAAATATTCAAATCACATATGCACCAATTACAAAGCGATAATCACGCTATCGTCATTAATCCTGATAAAACACCAGCTGGAGAGCATATTCGTAGATTCAATGCACCCGTTGTTGATGATGTTGCTGGAATCATGGTTGGCGATTGTACAGCTGCACGAGAAATTGTGATTCGTAGAAGAAATAATAATCTTCAGTTCATTGCTGACACACATCGTTCATATGACGCTCTCCAATATCCACTAATATTCTGGAAGGGACAGGACGGATATTGCATAAACATAAAACAACGAGATCCCGTATCAGGTACTTCATTGATTATTAATTTGATCATTAATCATTTAACAAAACAATTAAATTATTGAACGTAATAAATTTAAATTAATTTTTATGAACAAATATTACAGGAGCTGAAACAAACAAGAACGTTAGCTCAATATTATCGTACCGATTAATGATTAGACGTGGCCTGGACAACGTCATTTTACGATGTCGTGAGCTTTGTCAACAATTCATGGTCGACATGTACGCGAAAATTGAGAGCGAACGACTACGATACTTACGATATAATCAACAAAAGCTGCGCGCGGAAGAGTACATTCATTTGCGAGACGCTATCAACAACAACGCCGACGTCGCCGAAATTGGTAACCATGTCATTTTACCATCATCGTACGTAGGCAGTCCACGTCATATGCAAGAATATATACAGGATGCTCTGACTTTCGTGCGCGAATATGGACGACCATGTTTATTTATCACGTTCACATGTAATCCAAAATGGCCAGAGATTACATCTTTGCTACTGCCTGGCCAAAATGCAATACGTCGCCATGACATTACAGCACGTGTGTTCAGACAAAAGTTGAAGTCTTTAATAAGTTTCATTACTAAATCACATGTATTTGGTCCCACACGTTGCTGGATGTATTCGGTTGAGTGGCAAAAGCGAGGATTACCTCATGCACACATTTTGGTTTGGTTCATCGACAAAATCCGTCCTGAAGAAATCGATAGTATCATTTCTGCGGAAATTCCAGATCCATCCACTGACCAACTGCTGTTTGATATTGTTACAACAAACATGATTCATGGTCCATGTGGTACTCTTAATAGTTCATCGCCTTGCATGGCTGATGGAAAATGTACTAAAAATTTCCCTTAAGATTTTACCAATGATACGGTCACAAATGTCGACGGATACCCAATATATCGTCGAAGAAATCCTGAAAATGGCGGACAATTATTTATTAAAAATATCATCAACTCAGACATTGATATTGACAATCGTTGGGTGGTGCCGTATTCGCCTCTGCTGAGCAAGACATATAATGCTCATATTAATGTTGAGTTCTGCAGTTCTGTGAAGAGCATCAAATATATTTGCAAGTATGTCCATAAAGGCAGTGATATGGCTGTGTTTATAGTGGAAAATGCTAATGTGAATGCTCCTCCAGTGAATAAAAACGATGAAATAACGCTGTACCAAATTGGTCGGTACATCAGCTCCAATGAAGCTGCTTGGCGTATCTTTGGTTTTCCAATTCATGAACGAGATCCAGCAGTTGTTCAGTTAGCCATCCATCTTGAAAACGATCAGCGTGTATTTTTCACGAACGAGACAGCGATTGATCGTGCAATAAATCCACCTAAAACTACACTCACTGCATTTTTTGAATTGTGTAATCGTGCGGATGATTTTGGTGCCTTTGCACGAACATTACTCTATTCACAAGTACCACGCTATTTCACATGGACTCAAACAAAAACATGGATGCCCCGCAAGCAAGGCTCACCAGTTGCTGCATGTCTCAATTTATTTAAATCAAACGCTTTGGGACGATTATTTACATACAATCCAAGACACACGGAGTGCTTTTATCTTCGACTGTTGTTGGTTAATGTTACTGGCCCATTATCATTTCAAGATATACGTAAAGTGAATGGGCAACAATATCCAACGTATAAAGATGCATGCCTTGCACTCGGCTTGCTGGAAGACGACAACCAGTGGGAATGCATGCTTGCTGAAGCTGCATTGAACTGTACAGCAATACAAAATCGTCTACTATTCGCTATAGTGTTGACTACATGTTTCCCAGCCCGAGCACAGATATTATGGGAAAATCACAAAGATTCAATGACTGATGATATATTGCATCAACATCGTATACGGTTCCACGATCTAACCATAACATTCAGCGACGAAATGTACAATGAAGCATTGATTGCTATTGAGGATCTTTGCATTGTCATTGCCAACTTACCATTTAGTAATTTCGGTATGAATTCGCCAAATCGAACTGCATCTGATTTAATGAATACTGAAATGAATCGTGAACTGCAGTACAGTACTGTAGAAATGGCAGCGATTGTTGCCCGCAATGTCCCACTAATGAATGAGGAACAAAGAACCATTTATGATCGCATTATGCTCGCAGTTTCAGCTGGACAAGGTGGGTTCTTCTTTTTGGATGCACCGGGTGGAACTGGCAAAACATTCGTTATTTCGCTAATTCTTGCTGAAATACGATCAAATAATGGCATCGCATTGGCCGTTGCATCATCGGGCATTGCAGCAACTTTATTGGATGGAGGTAGAACAGCTCATTCAGTATTTAAGCTGCCACTAAATATTCAGAATAACCCTGACGCAGTATGCAACATTAAGAAACAATCGTCCATGGCCACTGTGCTGAAACGGTGTAAAATTATTATTTGGGATGAATGTACTATGGCACACAAACATTCACTTGAGGCGTTGAACAGGACATTGAAAGATAATAAAAACAGTGACAAACTATTTGGCGGAACTCTGTTGGTCCTTTCAGGTGATTTCAGACAAACACTTCCAGTCATTCCACGTTCAACATACGCTGATGAGATCAACGCTTGCTTAAAATCATCTTCATTGTGGCGTAATGTTGAAAAATTACAGCTAAAAATAAATATGCGCGTTCAAATGCTTCAAGATCCATCCGCTGAAACATTTTCAAAACAACTCTTAGATATCGGTGATGGAAAAGTTGCTATAGATGAAACTGGATACGTAAAATTACCGACCGATTTCTGCACAATCGCTGATTCGCAAGATACTCTCATTGAACAAATATTTGCCGATGCACACACACAGTACATAAATCATGAGTGGCTTGCAGAAAGAGCGATTTTAGCGGCAAAAAATGTAGACGTTGACAATTTAAATCTGAAGATACAAATGTTGTTGCCAGGGAACTTGGTATCATATAAATCTATTGATACAGTTTGCGACGACAGCGAAGCAGTAAATTTTCCCACAGAGTTTTTGAACTCCCTGGATTTGCCAGGCATGCCACCGCATAATTTACAATTAAAAGTTGGATCTCCAATTATCTTGCTTCGTAATTTGAACCCGCCCCGGCTGTGCAACGGTACGCGATTAGTCATTCAAAAATTAATGAAAAACGTGATCGAAGCCAGGATTTTAAATGGCAAGTTCAAAGGTGAAAATATACTCATACCACGGATTCCTATTATACCTACAGATGTGCCAATTCAATTCAAACGTATTCAGTTTCCGATTAGATTAGCATTTGCAATGACTATCAACAAATCCCGAGGTCAAACGATGTCTGTTTGTGAATTAGATTTGAGAACACCATGTTTTTCACACGGACAATTATACGTGGCATGCTCTCGAGTGGGTAAACCATCCAGTTTGTGTTAGCTAAAGATGGAATAACAAAAAATATTGTTCACGCTATATCATTAAGAGATTGATATTGTTTAATAGTGTTACTGTCGTAATTGTTTAATTAATGATAAATAATTTTAAGGAATAAATTATAATAACTTAAAAATAATGTTTGCCTTTTGTTATTTTTATATTCCCTCATCGTTCACAGCGCTCCATGCTTATTTCACGCATATACCACATTCTTACATACATACAATATACACATTCTAACATACATACATACTTACAATAAGTAAGCTATTTTTGTCTACACTAGAATTTACTAGGAAATTATTTATATGGCAAAACAACGTTTGCCGGGTCAGCTAGTATATATATAGAAGAGGGGGCAAACGAGCATGCGACTCACCTGATGTTAAGTGACTACCGCCGCCCATGATCAACCGCAACACCAGGGGAATTGCAGGTGCGTTGCCGGCCCTTTAGAAAGGAGTAAGCTCTTTTCTTGAAGGTGCCCAGGTCGTATCGGTCCGGAAAAATCGTTGGTGGTAAACTATTCCACAGAGAGGTTGTAGGCGGAAGAAAACTCCTCTTGAAACGTACAGTGGTGGACGGCCAAGCATCCAGATGGTGTGGATGGTATCGGGACGTTTGCCGCGTAGTGTGTTCACGAAATTTGGCGGCTGGGATTAATCCGAACAATTCCTTAGAGCACTCTCCATGGTATATGCGAAAGAAAATGCAAAGAGATGCAACATCTCTTCGCAGTGCCAGTGAATCGAGCCGATCGGAAAGCACTCGGTCGTCGACGATTCGAGCCGCTCTGCGCTGGATGCGGTCAAGTGGAAGGAGCTGGTACTGGGGAGCCCCAGCCCAGAGATGGGAACAGTATTCCATGTGCGGCCGAACCTGCGGCTTGTAAAGTTGCAGGCGGTGTGCCGGCATGAAATACTGTCCTGCTCTGCTGAGCACGCCAAGCTTTTTAGAGGCCAATTTGGCCTTCTCTTCCAAGTGACCACGAAACTGCACGTCACTCAATATGTCGACGCCGAGGATTCCGATACTGGCTGAGGCAACAAGGGGAGTGCCTTGAAACTGAGGAGATACGACAAAGGGGTTCTTTTTAGCGGTTAACGCGCAAACTTGTGTCTTCTGGGGGTTAAACTGGACTAGATTTAGTCGCCCCCAATCCAAGACTCTGTTCAGCAAAGACTCGACTTCAGACACAAGTTTGTCCCGGCACTCAGAGACGTTTTCCCGAGAAATATTGGCTCGGCCGGTGTAAAGAGCATCACCAGTGCTATCATCTGCATAGCAATGAATGTTACGAGTTTGCAACATATCATTGATATGCAGAAGAAACAGCGTTGGCGATAGCACGCAGCCTTGTGGAACACCAGCGTTAATAGGCTTGCAATCGGAGCTTACACCGTCTACAACGACCTTGATGCTCCAATCTGCATGATTCTGACGAAGTCAGAAGGTGAGTTAAATTCAATTTCATATCCAACAGTTCAGGAAGTTTTCGAATTGATGATTTTCATGAACTTAACTAGTTCTTTCATTTTCAGTTCCGGGCACAATCAATCAGGTTTTTTTTTAACCCGAATCCAACGATAGTGAAGGAAATGTTGTGTATGAAGCACAACCTAAGAAACGATCACGTAATCGACAGAGAAATGTACAAGAATGAAAGTGTAGTAAACGAAAAGATGAAGAAGATATAGATATAGATAGAAGAAGCTACTGCCGGAAAAGCAAGGATCGTCTAAATATATGTGTGATTAAATGTAGCCAAAAGATTACTGATGATGAAAGGTTATCAATTTTTATCAATAATTATAAACTATCTTCAGAAGAAAAACGAATGTTTTTTATGAATAATAATACCAGTTGTTTTCAACATGACAGGAGACGGAAAGAAAAAAAAATTATGAAAATTCGAAGAAAAAGTCGGCTATCAGTTTTTTTTAACGTGAACAATAAAGTATGTAAGAATTTATTCTGTGATACTATAGTGATTAGCCAGAAACCAATACGTAATATTCACAAGACAAAGAATAATGTTCCAAACACTCCTGTACCCAGTAAACAAGGCAAACATACAAAAAGAGCCACAGCTGAAAAAGATAAGACTGCTTGAACACGCATGTACATATTAATTCATTTTCCCGCATTCCATCACATTATTGCAGGAAAGACTTCTAGAGGATATTTAGAACGTTTTTGTTACCATCAATAAAATATATTCTCTGTCTATTGTCTGGACTGAAGAAAAAAAAATAAGCTTCCAGTTAAGAAAGAAGTATACCGACTTATATCCAATATCTATTTCCAAAAACCAAAAAGTACAGATGCTATTTGTGCAAGGAGGTTGATATAAATTAAAAAAGGACGTATATTAATATCAGATTTACGTTTCTAAGGAACAGTTGGCGTCTGGTCGTCACAATGAAGTCAATCTCATTTTTTGTCGAACCGTCGGGGCTCGACCAGGTCCACTTCCTGTGGGGGCGCTTCTGGAAGAAAGAGTTCATCATAAAGAGTCCCTCCTTCTCCTTAAAGTCGGCCAGCTGCTGGCCCCTACGGTTCCGTTGCCCCACTCCAAATTTCCCTAACTTCAGCTCACCGTTTTCTCTTGTGCCTAGTTTTGCGTTGAAGTCTCCCATCAACACCGTGTAGTGGGTTTTGGAGGAGTGCATGACTCTGGAAATATCCTCATACATTTCCTCCACCCCCTCATCGGGATGTGCCGAGGTTGGTGCGTAAACCTGTATGACCTTCAGCGAATACCGTTTGGTGATTCTGAGTATCAGGTACACGACCCTCGTCGACACACTTCCAATCTTTACAACGTTATTGACGAGAGACTTGTGGACGATAAATCCGACACCTCCTTGGGACAGATGGTCGCACTCCCGGTGATAGAACAAGTTGCCGGACTCGAGGATTACCGTGTCCTCCCCCTCTCTTCGGACCTCGGATAATCCAATATGCCAGCGCAACTTGTCTACCTCCTCTTCCAGCTCCAGTATCTTCTCGTCAGTCCTCAGGGTGCGTGCGTTGTATGTTGCCAGGTCGAGTCGTCGTAGGTGGCAACCGAACCTCCACCGGAGATTCTTAGCACCCCCTGCCCCGCCGTTACCATGGTTGCTACCGTAGCCAGGAATAGCGGGGCCGCCGGGGACTGGGGGCCGTTTGTTTGCGTCGTTATTCATGGGGGGCATATTTGCCATAGTTGCCACGCTTGGCGAGCGGGTTGGCAACCGCAGTTTTTTATTATATCACTGTTGTTATCAGGAAGATGCTGCTGCCCATCTCCTGCCTGTCTCCCTCTGTCGCCTCTTACGACACCCACGGGAAGATATGGGGTAGTGGATATTCTCAACCGCCACTACACGGCAAAAAATTATATGTTTTTATAAATTCTAAATTTTTTGTCAATCAGCCGTTTCGAGAATAGACCATTTTTAGAATTGACCATTTTGCACCAGCCATTTTATTTATTATTCGCCTAAAGAATCTGTTAAATAATTTCTCGATAAATTTTGTAGAAAATTGAATGTTTATTTTTAAATAAAGAAAAAAATATTTATGTATTTTAAAAATAACAATACGAAAATATGTTGGTACATAATATTTTCAAAATGAAAAAACAAATATATAGGGATATTTTAATAATAAGAACATTTTAAAAATACGAATACAAAAATATAAGCGTGCGACGGGATTCGAACCGCCAGCCACCGGGGCACCTCGCAACTGTACAGCGGCGCGCTGGGCCAAACATATATTACACAAAGGTGCGAAATTACGCATTTATATGTAATGGACGTCGCACATCGGCGAAATTCGTGCGGTATGCACCCCGCAGTGAGCGAGATTACTCGTACCCCACTCATCTGATTCACCCCCTCTAGTAGATAAAAGTCGTCTATTCACCGCGTCTTAAGCTTATTGTAATTTTTTTTTACATTAGATCAAATTACCTTAAAATTTTCAACACCTGGACTTGCATACAAGAAATTGACAATGTGTATAGCTGTATTAATAGTCCTCTCAAAGGCTGAATATTATTCACCTTTATCTCTCATGAGATTATTATTGCGGGTAAATTTAGCTTAGCCCTATTTTATCATACGAATGAGTAGCAATGACTTCTTTAATTCTCAAGAAGCCTGTTTGGGGCTAAAATGAAACATGATGTCATAAATTCACTACATTAGTTCATAAGACTAAAAAAATAATGCTTTGATTTTTTTTTCTCGTACTTATTTCAGAGGAACGAAGTGCTAAGTTCTGATTTTAAAAACAGTGAAATTCCCCTTCGCGGACCTCTCTTACACGGACACCTCCCTTAAACGAACAGTTTCTCATGATCCCAACCAACTCTCATATAATTTGCATTGTATTAACTCCCTCTTGGACGGACATTCTCTTGAACGGATGCGGACACGAGAAAATGTTCTCCTAACCGGACAATAAACAAAAAGAAACGCTTTGTTTGATTTTTTTGCACGACGCGCCAACTTCGCTGGGGCTTTTTTCGAGTAAAGCGGGGATTCACCGTGTAGCAGCCAGATTAATCAAACCGAAACGGGAATAAATAATATATACTCCGCTGCTACCATAACGCGGAAGGCGAGAATAAATAAAAAAACATTTTATTTCCTAATTATTCTTGGCTACTGAGATACTGCGGACTGTATATAGATAATTTGACGTTCTTATAAAGAAACAAGAAGCAGCCGCAAATATCATTCAGCGCCACACCGACTTCACACGCCGCTATCGTCACGTATCCGTCGACCAATGGTGAGCCGTTTCTTCAACGCCGCAGTTCGTTTCCTCTTGCTGTTCCGGAGCTGTATTCCACACCGCCGCCGCCCGCCGACTACGCGTGCGCACCGATCTGCATGTCTTATATAGCCCGATCCAGCGACGTAGCTTCATGAACAACAAACAAGTCTCACGCCGGGAAACGAAACGTAGATAATTGTATATTTTAAATAGTTTTCATTGGTCATAAAATAAGCAATATAATTGGCTAGGCAAAATATTAATTGTTACCATTGGCAAATCAATAGTGAGCCAGCCATATAAATATAGGCAAGGTTGATGCAAAAGATATTCCATTCCGAATCCCATTCGACAGTACATTCATAAACATAAACAGTAGTTTCATTTCTCCACCTTAAAGAAAACCACTCGGAGTCTGTTAATAGTGGACAGTTCGTCTCCACTATTACAGTGGTGACCCCGTACGAACACCGAGGGGGAAGATCCGGTACGAATACCAAGAAGGAACACCCTGCGACGTACCACTACTATTGCACGAACACCGGGAAGGAAACCCGTACGAACACCGAGAAGGAAGACTTCAGTTTATATAAAATCAGTGTAATCAAGCCGTCATTATGGAGCAGGAGGCAAACACATATACATCAAACCCGGTAAAGGAACCAGAAATCGCCGGTATATCTCTATCGTTAAGAATACCACCGTTTTGGAGAGACAAACCACGACTTTGGTTCGTCAGTTTTGAAGCCGCAACGAATGGTTTAAGGAAGAGCCAAGCGCAATTAGCACAGATGGTGATAGCCCAACTTGAGAAACAAGACATCGAACAAATTGCGGACCTGTTGTACAACCCACCAGCAGTCGACCAGTATAATTCACTGAAGGATCGTCTGATCTCCGCATACGAAGAATCCGACAGTCGACAGCTACAAAAACTTCTATCAGAAATAGAACTTGGAGACCAGAAACCCACACAACTCCTACGCAAAATGTGTACTTTGGCGCGAGATAAAGTTCCGGATTCAACACTACGGCTAATGTGGGTAAACCACCTACCACCACATATTCGATCGGTAATAGCAGTCAGCGAAACATTCAGCACGCAGACGAAGCTCGACGAACTGGCACTCCTGGCGGACAAGATGATCGAAAACAGCAGTAGCTCACACATATCGATCATTGAAGGCACTTCAACAAAGGCCAATGATACCCAGTTTCTTCTCGAAGAAATTCGGAAGCTATCATTCGAAGTCGCCGCGCTCAAAGCTTCCCAGCATCATACCTTTTACCAGCAACAGTACAACCAGCGCAATCAGCAACACCGAAGATCACCTTTTCGTCGCAACCGCTCTGCAAGTAGAAGTCGAATAAGCTCAACATCAAGATCCCCTTACTGCTACTATCATCGACGTTTCGGGGTCGAGGCAAGAAAAATGCACAGCACCGTGTACATTCAAAAATGAAAATACGAATACGGAAAACTAACTAGTACGCTCGATGCGACGGGATCCAGCGTAACAGCAAAGTCCTACCGTCTTTTCGTCACCGATAAAAGAAGCAAGCTTACTTTCCTTATCGACACCGGAGCAAATATCTCAGTGTTACCGCCGAAGCAAGGACAGAAGTTGAAGCCACTAGATTTTCAGCTCTATGCAGCAAACAATACGGTTATTCCTACATATGGAGAAAAAACAATGGAACTTGATTTTAATCTACGCCGACCATTCAAATGGAGATTTATCGTCGCTAAAGTCAGCAAACCAATCATCGGTGCTGATTTTCTTCAAAATCACCAGTTGGTCGTCGACATCAAAAATAGAAGAATCATCGACGGGAAAACCAATCTTGCATCTCAGTCTTTTGTACAAGCAACCAATCTGCCCACAATAAGAAGCATAGATGTGCAACAACCGTATCACAAGATCCTCGAAGAATACCCTGGTATCACAAGAATAACTTCAATGAAATTAACACCGAAGAACGACGTTGAGCATTTCATCGACACCAATGGACCACCACTTCATTGTCGTGCACGTCCAATCGCACCACACCTATACGAGCAAGTTCGAAAGGAATTCGAAAACATGATTGAGCAAGGAATATGCCGTCCAAGCAAAAGCCCTTGGTCATCACCACTTCACATTGTACCGAAGAAGAACGGAGAATTACGAGTTTGTGGAGATTACAGAAGACTGAATTCTATTACCACTCCTGACCGCTACCCAATACCGCGAGTCAGGGATTTCACTCATCAACTATCAGACAAGACTATATTCTCCACCATCGATCTCAACCGAGCTTACCAACAAATAAGAGTCCGCGATGAAGACATAGAGAAGACAGCAATAATTACCCCAATGGGATTATTCGAATTCCCAAGAATGATCCCAGGATTAAAGAACGGAGGTCAAACTTTCCAAAGATTCATACACGAAGTACTTCATGGACTGGATTTCGTTTTCGCATTTATTGATGATCTCCTTGTTGCAAGCCCTGATAAAGAAACGCACGAAACCCATCTACGCACCGTGCTACAGCGATTAGAAGACAACGGAATCACAATCAACCCTTCGAAATGCATATTTGGACAGCAAGAAGTTCAATTTCTTGGTTTCACCGTCAGCAAGGAAGGAATAAAACCGCCTGCCGAAAAAGTCAGAGCAATCATCGATTATGCAAAACCTAAAACTATCGAAGAGCTAAGGCGTTTTCTTGGGATGATAAATTTTTACAGAGAACACATACCTAAAGCCGCTGAAATCCAAGCACCACTTCACGCCTACCTTCACAACACGAAGAAAAAAGATAAAACGTCAATCGAATGGAACGATGAAGCCACGAAGGCATTTGAAGCTTGTAAAATTGCGATCCAAAATGCAGCTTTACTCGCTCACCCATCACACGAAGCAACCCTTGCTATCTTCAGCGACGCATCCGATCTCTCAGCAGGAGCAGTTCTCCAACAATACAGCAATGGGAAATGGCAACCACTTGGATATTTTTCGAAGAAGTTCTCCGATACTCAACGTAACTACAGTACATTCGACCGAGAGCTACTCGCTATTTACATGGCTATCAAGCACTTCAGAAAAACGTTCGAGGGTCGAAACCTGATCGTTTTTACCGACCACAAGCCATTAACATATGTACTTCCAAAGAAACCATCACTATCGGAAACACCACGAAGAGCAAGACAACTTATTTTCATAAGTGAATTCACGACCGACATACGTCACATCAGAGGAAAGGACAACATAGTTGCCGACGCACTCAGTCGCGTACCAATCGATAGTGTAACGTGCCCTACATCAATCGACTATCATAAGATCGCCGCAGCACAAGACAGAGATAGTGACAACATAAAACATCTAGCGAAGCAAGGTAACTTGTCCATCAAGCAAGTTACAATGCCAATGACGCATCTACCTATATACTGTGAAGCCTCAACGACAACCATGCGACCATACATACCAGAAGAATGTCGTCGCGAAGTCTTCAATACACTGCACAACATTAGTCATCCAGGTGTTAGAACAACAAGAAAACTCATCACTGAAAAATTCTTTTGGCCTGCAATGCAAGCGGATGTTGGCAACTGGGCGAAGCAATGCATTCAATGCCAAAAATGCAAAGTACAAAGGCATACATCAAGTAGTCTAGCTACATTTCCACCCACGGAGAGATTCGAACACTTGCACGTTGACATCGTTGGACCATTACCTACTTCACCGCAAGGACATCGTTATCTCGTAACAATGATCGACAGAACAACAAGATGGCCAGAAGCAATACCTACCGATGATACTTCAGCCGAATCCGTCGCGAAGATAATTTATGAAAATTGGATTACTCGTTTCGGATCACCTAAAACCATCACAACGGATCAAGGAAGGAATTTCGAAAGCAACCTATTCCTCAAACTTCTTCAAACTATGGGAATACAGAAGACGCGTACAACAGCATACCATCCTCAGTCAAACGGAATAATCGAACGATGGCATCGTACATTAAAGACTGCACTCAAAACTCGTTTATCTCAACATACAAAGTGGATTGATGAGCTACCTACAGTGCTACTCGGACTACGAGCAACACCGCGTGCAGACACTAGTCTTAGCGCCGCTCAGCTAACCTACGGCTGCAGCATAAGGCTGCCGTGTGACTTCTTCAGTTCAGCAGCGTCAAACAAACAAGAAATGGATTACGATTTCGTAACTAAACTTCGAGAATCAATTAACAAAGCCTTATCGTTGAAATGCACCGAAATGCATTCACACAGAAATAATATATCAGTATTCATTCACCAAGATTTGAAAACATGCAAACAAGTTTTTGTAAGAAACGACGCAATGAAAAAACAATTTCAACCTACCTACGATGGACCGTATAAAGTATTAGAGAGAAATAGCAAGACTTTTAAACTACAAATACCCGGAAGGAAATCTACGATTATATCGATCGACCGACTAAAGCCTGCCTATATTATTAACGAGGATACTGCAGAGGATTCATCATCATCATCAAAACCACCAGCGAGGAAGCTTGAAACTTCATCATCTACATCAACCCAGTTGAAACCTATTTTAAAGACTACGAAATACGGGCGAGTCGTCAAGCCTCCGGTACGCTTTCGCTGGGGGAGAGTGATGTAGCAGCCAGATTAATCAAACCGAAACGGGAATAAATAATATATACTCCGCTGCTACCATAACGCGGAAGGCGAGAATAAATAAAAAAACATTTTATTTCCTAATTATTCTTGGCTACTGAGATACTGCGGACTGTATATAGATAATTTGACGTTCTTATAAAGAAACAAGAAGCAGCCGCAAATATCATTCAGCGCCACACCGACTTCACACGCCGCTATCGTCACGTATCCGTCGACCAATGGTGAGCCGTTTCTTCAACGCCGCAGTTCGTTTCCTCTTGCTGTTCCGGAGCTGTATTCCACACCGCCGCCGCCCGCCGACTACGCGTGCGCACCGATCTGCATGTCTTATATAGCCCGATCCAGCGACGTAGCTTCATGAACAACAAACAAGTCTCACGCCGGGAAACGAAACGTAGATAATTGTATATTTTAAATAGTTTTCATTGGTCATAAAATAAGCAATATAATTGGCTAGGCAAAATATTAATTGTTACCATTGGCAAATCAATAGTGAGCCAGCCATATAAATATAGGCAAGGTTGATGCAAAAGATATTCCATTCCGAATCCCATTCGACAGTACATTCATAAACATAAACAGTAGTTTCATTTCTCCACCTTAAAGAAAACCACTCGGAGTCTGTTAATAGTGGACAGTTCGTCTCCACTATTACAACCGACATTAACTTTTTGGTACAAACACAGCCTACGTGGTGCATTTCTGCCCGCTGTGAATTAGGGATTTCCCCGAGTTGGTCGAGATTTTACCGTCTTTCGATTAAATTTCACTTAAGTATTAGTCTGACGTCTATGCAGGAAAGACACCGTGTGCGACACATTCAATGTAGAAATGGCTCCAAATAGAAAAATTCCCTCGCTTAAACAAAAAATTGAGATTGTTGAAGTTCACAATAAGAAGTTAAGTGTAAGAAACTTATCCAAGCGTTTTAATATTGGAAAAACACAAGCGGATATAATTAAATAAAATGAAATCCTTCTAAAGAAATGGATTTCGAACAGCAATTTAAATGAAAAAAGATGCTTTTTGACGGGTGATGGTACCAAAATTGTCAAATTGTGTTATGACTGGTTTATAGCAGCTCGTCATAAGAGGATTCCTTTGACAGGTATGCATATGATTTTTTTTAGATAAGGTTTTCTTGTATCATGTGATGATTTTCTTTTCATATCAGTTTTAAAAGATTGAGATTATCAATAGGTTTATGACAAAAATGCAAAAAGAAACTTTTTTTAGGTCCGATAATACGATGCAAAGAAAAAGAAATAGCCAATTCTCTGGGACATTCTACATTCAGGGCTTCTTCTGGTTGCCTCAATAAACTTAGAATTCGCCACAATATAAGTTTTAAAGCGATTTCGGGAGATGGAGCTTTGGTTAATGATGAAGATGTTTCATCGGTTTTGGAAAAAAGTCCTTCTTTGATTAAGGGATATTCACCGAGATCTAAAATGCTGATGAGACAGGCCTGTATTTTAGGACCCAACAAGACAAAAAGGTCACATTAAAGAAGGAAAAAATTGTTGGGAGTAAGTTTCCCAAAGAAAAGTTTACAGTTTTGCACTGTGTAAATATGGCGGATGAAAAAGAAAAACTCCTAGTCATTGGTAGGGCAGCTAAGCCCAGAACTTTTAAAAACATTATTATAAATGACTTGCCGGCAACTTGGAAATTGAATAAGAAAGCGTGGATGACAGGACAAATTATGACTGAATAGTTGCAAGACCTAGATCGGAAAATGGCTGAAGAAGATGTCGATGAGGTTTCAGTACCAACAGAAGCTATCCCATATTATGGTAAAGCTATTACCTTGACCAAGCAGCTCAGAATTTTTGTCGAAAATCAGGGAGATAGTCTTTAGAGCTTCTTTCTAAATTAGAAATACGATTTTAAGACGCCATTTTAAAGTAAAAAAGGAGACTAACTACAATATATGAATTTTTGCGTCCTTAAAGTGACTTTTTATTTTCATTCGTTTATTTTAGAAACATTTAAATCCACTTCTTTTGTGGAGCTAAAAGAGCGCAATCGCAACACAGCAAAGTATGTTTTTTCAAAGGAACTATGCATACCACAGCAGATCTTGATGAATCGAAACAATTACCGGAGATGGTAGAATTCTACAATAAAAAAAGGCGACGTCGATTTGCTCGATCAGTTATGTCACAAGTACAACGTGTCTAGAAAAACAAAAAGATGGCCTATGGCAATTTTTCTCGGCCTTATGAATATAGTAGGTGTTAATTCGAATGTACAACATTCCTGGTAAAGACTGGTTGGCTTCTTTTCTTTCACGACATCAATATCTTTCACGGCGGCTTGCTAACAATATCAAAAGAGTCCGAGCTCAAGTATCGGAAGATGTAATTTCCAATTTTATAGAAAACATCGACAAAGAACTAGAAAGCGTTCCACCCGAAAACATATTCAACTACGATAAAAGTAATCTTTGTGATGATCCAGGAAAAAAGACTATATTATGCAGAAGAGGAACAAAATATCCGGAAACAACAGTAAACACTACAAAAGTTAATTGTACTATCGTGTTCTGTGGCAACGCCGCTGGGGAAACAGTTCCACCGTTCATCGTTTCTCGTTCATCTCTGGTCGACTTGGACTGAAAATGGTCCCGAAGGCGCTCGATATAATAGGACAAAGAGCGGATGGATGGACAGCGCAACTTTTGAAGACTGGTTTCTCAATCATCTTATGCCAGTTCTTAAGAAGAAAAATGGTAGAAAAGTGGTGATTGGAGACAACCTTGCTTCACACATTAATAAAACAGTTTTGAACGAGTGTGAGAAGCACAATGTTAGTTTTATTTGTTTGCCACCCAACGCTACACATATACTTCAGCCACTAGACGTCGCATATTTTCGACCTTTGAAGTGCAAGTAGCGGCAAGTATTGCTTCAATGGAAGAACAGCCAACTGGGTACGAAACTGTCGACTACACCTAAGGATCAGTTTCCACGACTATTAAAAACGGCTTTGGATTCTTTGACCGAGACCAAGGCGAATTTGATTGCTGGTTTCAGAAAGACAGGCAATATACCCCATTAACAAAGAGGAGCCTTTAGTTAGATTACCCAAACAAGATCGAATAATAAACGCAGGTCTTATAGGGAACTCTTTTATGCATAAATTGGTGCAGTGCCGAGCTGAGGCGTGCCCACAACAGAAAACAATTAGGAAAAAGAAACTTAATGTACCACTTGGAAAATCAATCTGTGCCACTAACCTTGCAGAAACAGGTCCATCGGGTTTACAGCAGGCTAAAACTATAAAGGAAAAGAAAAGGGCAACAAAACGAAGACAACGCAACGTCTCTTCATCTTCAAGCTGCAGTGACAGGACCATCAGTCTAGCTTCTTCCACTGAAGACCACATAATGCCTTATGACTCTGAGGATGATGTTCTTCTGGACAACTATGTGAGTCAGATTAGTGATACTGATGCACCTGCATTTCGACATTCGCCTGATCTTCAGCAGGAGAGTGAAGTAGAAGAGGAGTGTGGCTCTCCTGTTCTTCAAGTAACAGATGTAGAGCAACAGCTGTTTGATGCTTTTAAAGACTTCACTCCCCTTCAATCCATTGAGGATATACAGATCGTTGAAGAAAAATGTACTGAAAGAGAGGAAATGCAGGTAGTTGTAGAAGATTGTCGAGACAAAAACTTACGGGTCTCGCCCGCACGTGAAATAGAAAAGTTACCGCAGGATAAGTTAGAGCCACCAGGTTCTCGAAGAGGTTCACTTTAACTAATTACAATGATGTGTCTTACCTGGATTAAAGAGCACCTCTCGCCCTCCCTCAATTGCATGCACTAACTCCGTCACCACTAGTCCCAGCACCACTACTCCCGGCACCACTACTTCCGACACCACCATTTCAGGTAAGACACACCATCGACGACAGTACGACACGTGTTTCGCCTCTACACGAGGCATTCTCAGGTCTATAGACTGTACGGCGACTGACCGCTAAGTGAGCGGCGAGCCGAAACACTGTTTCGGCACGCCGCTTGCTAGAGGGGCTTTCATTAAAATTTTGGCTAGAAATGAAGAAAATGCAGTGCAGAGTATAACTGACGAATACCACTAGAAATAAAGTCGAAGATCAGACGAATTTTGGGCTCAGATTTTTCACCTCAGCCGCAAATGACGCAAAAGATGCGAAAGAAATGTGCCACCTAAGCGGGACCGAAAATCTTTTTACCAATGTGTTTCGTGTAAAAAGTATGTATGTCAATAAAAATAGTGAAGTATAGTAGTAGTAGAAGTATACTATTGTCAGTTTTGTGATTACACATGTGATCAGAGATTTGTTATTTTATGATTCAAGTCCAAACTAAGATTTCAAATTTTTATTATTAATAATAATGATGATTTTTGTTTTTTATTCATTTTTTGCTTTATTAATTTTTTTTTTTTGCTTTATAAAATTTTAATTATGACTGAACGTTGATCTCATGTCGTATATTTTTTTCTAATTATACGACACCTAATTTTATTATTGTCAGTTCATAAATAAAAATGATAATTAGAAAACACAAAACCGTTTTATTTAATACATAAATATCTATGTTATCACAAATAGGTAGGACACAGTAATAAATTTTTGTACATCGCTAATTACACTTATATACAACCAAGGCCTGTCAGACGTCACGTCGCCACTAACGTTACACAAAAACCAGGTCACCAGTTAAAGGTTTATATAAAAAAAGTTTTAACAGAGTTTGGATTCGAATTACTTTAATTATAGTATCTGTTAGCAATTAGCAGAATGATTTGAGCCAAAAAGCCAAACACTTTTTTATATAAATTTTAATGTTGTATGAATGTTAAGATCCAAATGTAAGTTGGCTTAAAAAATAAAACTGATCAACTTCCAAATACATTTTTCATCGCCATTGACGCGCTAAATTTTCCTCACTGAATGTATCAACCCAACAAGAATAAACTACCCCTGAATGCAAGAATATTTTTCAATTATTCAGCATCTCATTTGAATATTATTCATCAATCGTCAACTTCGAGTTCCAATTCTATATCAGCAAGGTTGATCTTTCGTAGTGTGTTTATGACCATGTAGCGTGAGAATATTACATACAAATACCGAAACCACACCATTTGCGATCTATGCTGTTTCATGGCTCGCGTTACGCGTCGACTCTCTGTCCAACGGAGGAAATATCTGAAAAAAATGTAGTTTGATAATTATTCAACATTTACTACAGAGGCTATATAAAAGGACTAACTGTTCCCCGCGACTTCACCCACGTGGAATTTATTACGGATGAATTTCATGGTGTTTAATTTTTGCGCGGAACCCTAATTATTTTTTCTAAGATAAAAGTAACCTAAATTATTCCTTATAAAATCAGCTACCTGCCTACCATTTTTATATTATAGGTACCGTAAATACATTTATATGCATCTAGTAAAAAGCTGTTATATTGACATTACAAACAGACACTTTAATTGTATTTATTTGTATGGAGTATAGATTCACTTAAATAATTTGACTTCTGATATTATCTAATGTAATGCTAGTATTATAAAAGCAGAGGAAATTCTGGTTCGATGTTAAGAAATAAAAATAGTCCCTTCTAGGTCTGGGACTTTTAGGCCCCACTTTCATTTGGGTCTTATAACAAAGAAGAATGTGCCAGCAGGGTTACTTGGTTAGCTCGTCATAAAAGGCGACTATAGTTCATAAAAGATAGCTTGATCTCTGCAACAGCTGTCAGTAAAATCACGCCTATGAAGTCCTGAATTTCTTAGTAGTACAGACAGTACCAGTCAATGTCATACTTGGGCATGCCGACCCATGCCCATAAAGTATGACATTGACAGGTACTGTATGTACTACTAAGAAATTCAGGACTTCATAGGCGTGATTTTACTGACAGCTGTCGCAGAGATCAAGCTATCTTTTATGAACTATAATCGTATGTAAGGTTTAAGATTGTGTAGGCGATGGGCTATCTACCTATCGCTTCTTTCACAATTTTTCATCTAAAGATAAAGAGAAGGCTACAAATGTCACCTCTAAGGATGGAATATCCACATGAAAGGTCTCTCCCCAAAAAAATATATATATATATATATATATATATATCCCCACACAAACAAAAAAGCAGGTAGCATACATTGTGTTTCCGAGCATATTAATAGGAAGAACAGGTGTAGAATTTCATAACTACTTTATTAATAAAAACGTGACCTTTTAAGGGTCATGTACGAACAAAATAACACTTTGTAATTACAGCTGGTAAGAGTAGTTTACAAAGTTGTGATTTACTACATATACAGTACTGAAGGAAAACATCTCAAGAAGATCTGTAAATTCGAAAAAAAAATATTTTAAAGATATGTATGTACTATGAAAAGTGAAAGTTGCATATAAAATTAAAATAAGACTGTAGACTATGGCAGAAGAGCACTGTCAAAGTAGTAGAGATTGTCAATCCTCTAATAACTTCAATCTACCAGCCAAGCATGGGAATGATGGCAAATCTTACCTACTATGGGTGATGGGAGAAGCCTATACTGTGAATTGTTTAAAAACTGAATAGAAGAAAAATGGATACCGTGGAAAATTTATGTAGACCCATTCTTGCTTTTTATTTAGGTATCTTCCTAGTTTTTCCTTTATTCAACTTTTTACCTGCGCCATTATATATTGCCATTATAGGCACAATTCCGTCAAAATTGTGTACAGCACATTTGTTCACAAACATTTTGTGCAGGACTCCTACAGTGCTCTTTCTGAGCTAAAGATGAGCTAGTCTCTGTTTCCAGTGACAAAGCTGAGCATATCTTTTATAAGCAAACAGTGCTGCACATTTTGTTAATAAAAATGTTCACCTCGAGAGTGCTTTGGCTTCAGCTTGTGTCATATTGTTTATATTAGGTTTTTTCAAAAAGAAGTATTTCATAAGTAAAAAGATAAACATTTAAACTAACCTCTTAGAAGACAGTACAAAGCTTAGCGGCAAATCTAAAAAACTCATATACTTCCTCAGTATGTTTACTGAATCCAAAGTATAGACAGTACACCCTGTGAGAAAAACAGATTTTAGAATGTAACATATCCAATCAAAAGATCAAAAATCAGATTTAGTCAGTATGATTAAGCTATTAAACTTCAGTTCCATTACCATATCTTCACTATGTTCATGAGATTTTTTTTTCCATCTTTAATTTTTCCTTTGAGTAAATTTAATATGAACTATTTTTTTACTAGCTGTTCTATGCAACTTCGTCTGCAGAAAATTTCATATTTTACAGTTTTATTATTTTTGTGCAAAACCCTAATTATTTTTCTAAAATAAAAGGAGCCTAAGTTACTCCTTAAAATCAGCTATCTGCCAGTGAAAGTTCCATTAAAATTGGTCCAGCCATTTCGGAGATTAACCGGAACAAACAGACAGTGAGACAGACAAAAATTTAAAAAATTAAATTTTTGTTATAAGTACCGTATATACTTTTATATACATTGAGTAAAAAGCTGTTATTTTGACATTACAAGCTGACACTTCAAGCTTATTTATTTGTATAGATATTTGCATAGTTAAAGTCAAGTAGTTATGCTAGTCTAAATTAATCATATATATATGTAAATTATATAAATTGTAAATATGTAAATTGAGCCTAAAACCACTTCAGAAATGAGGGGTGGTCAGTGCCCAGCAGTGAGACGTATATAGGCTTAACTTACTATTTTTGATAAAAATGCTATGATGATATGAATAGATGATAATTGTAAAATAATCAACCATTTTATTTCTGAAGTTTTCTTATCGACATATATTGTGAAACTTCTTTAAAGCATATTTTGCAAGATTTCTGATTAATGGACAGTATATTGTTGAAAAAAGATACTTACTTTTAGGCATGTTTTTTTCAACAAATATATAAGCAACTGCATAGAAAACAGCTGAATGATTTGGATGGGAAGAAATTCCACCTCTATCAAAAGTAACTAAGGTGTCCACTTCCAACATCTCCAGATGATGGTGTATGAGCTTGGCTATAACTTGTACTGGCCACTGCACCTTAGGATCATCCTGTAGTCTTGTATCATTCATTAAACAAATATTTTCTGCTGGAACTCCCAACAATTTGCAAGCATTCCATAGTTCTTTGGGCCTAATATCCCCTTTACCATCATAGTTACCTACAACCAAATTGAATTAATTATAGATGGTAGATTAAATTACATTGTGGCATTAAGCTGACTATATAGCTCAAAGAACCAACCACTATGGAAAATAAATGTTCTCAAGTGGTGTCCTTGTACTGTAGACAGCCTAAGCAAGTGCAGTGTCGGATGATCCTACACTAGATGGAGTTTTGTTGTTATGGATACAGCTGGCTCTGGACTGTACTTTAAGACAATATAGAGGTAGGCCTATATTTTTCAGTGAACTCATGTGAATTTGTGATAGGTTATAACAATGATGAAGTTATACAATTGACTTGATAGTTCACTATTATTTATATTACTAGTAGTATTATTATATTACAAGTATTTGTATAGTTTACAAATAATTATTCCAGGTCTGGATGTTAGTCCTTGTACAGTTATGTATGAAACTGCCTCCACGAAACAGGAGAAATTGTAAGTGTGAAGGTAACTTTTTTTAAAATAGAAAAAAGATAAATATAACATATTTTAACTTTAAAGTGGTGTTTTATGTAAATTGAACTACATAAACATAGATTGGCATATAAATTATTCAAAGGAACTTACATGGTAGAGCCACTCTGCAGCTATATTATGGTTACAGCATGAATAGGTCGGCTCGAACGGGGAAGGAGCATGCTCTCACAGAATACCAGCATAAAATGATAGCTTCACGCTGCTGTGTTTCATGTGATGAGTATGAAGAACTGGAGACCCTTTTTACTGGAAACGAGGCATTCCATCTTAGTCCTCACTGGTGACAACGCATCTACAGTTAGATTTGTAGTCCAATATAGATGTAGATGTCTATGGTCCACAGCAATTACTTACCATCAAGTGGACTGTGTGCTCTTTTGTCACCATTATTCTATAAAAAACTAAAACTTTCACGAAAATCATGACTACCCTCACACATTAGTTTTTAGTTTATGTGAGCCAGGTAGATTGTGATTTGAAGGTAAGGTCTATGCGCAATTACTCATAACAAATAATTTTACTGCAAACCTTTAATAATTTTTTTGTAGAGATAGAAACAGCCTTAATGTAATGGAAAAAAGACAAGAATAAATACCAATACGAAAATAATAACTTATATTATAAGCAAAATTCAAATTTAGTTTTACGAGCTATTATCTTATTATTTCTCTATTTTATGCGTTGAGTGCGAAGACTGAATCAAAACTAATCAAGATTGACTGACATGTCTTTGAGTCATCTATGACCCGATTACTTTCATTCAGATTATGATTGATTCAAAGTGATTCGATAAATTGTGCTCGACACAGGACTATCTACTACTAATAAAAGATGAAAGACCAACCATCATAGATTACTTAATCAACAAAACTTACCATTTGATAAACATAATATATAAACATCAGCACCCTGTTCACATAATCTATAGATTGTTGGACCGAAGAACATACATTCGTCATCCGGGTGCGCTGTTACTAATAAGACTCTTTTCGCTCTAAGTGCCCCACGAATTCGAGTAGGCAATTTCCTCGCATACCGTCGATACACAACACAACATACGCATACATAGCCCACGATCCATAAGCTAATATATAAAACAAAATTTCTTAAATATAGTAAAGTTTCAGCTATGAAATTTAAGTAAAAATTGTACACATTTACATTCAAAGACGAGTCAATAAATGACATTTCTGACTAGAAAATAAATATATTTTTGTTGGTTAATGAATAGAACGTCGTTCTTCATGTGATAAAAAATAACATACACAAAACACACAATTGTAGTTTTGTTACTTAATTTAAAAACGTTTGAATGTACCTAAGTACTTGTAAACTTTTCATTTTTGTAAACATTTCGGAATTTGGATACGATTCGGACATTACTTTCACTTTCAGGTATTAGGGATGTTCGATGATCATCGATGTTAGAAATTAAAACATCGATATTTTAACATCGATGTTGCCTGATGTTTCGATGTTTAACGTGTGCATGTCAAACATCGATGATAATGAACCAATAATCGATTAATAAGAACCTGTGAACAACGCGAACCCGCTAAATCAATATAAACTAAATATTTTATTACCCATTAAAGGTTTAAAATTTTGAATAATTAAGGATTCCTAAATGTATCGATCACCTAAAAAATATCATTATGTTGTGTCAAACTCCCTGTCAAGTGTGAACTGTAATATCACAGCTGTCACTGCTTTCGCTTTTTTATTGTAGTGTCGTTGTCGGTTGTCGCCTAAAGCTATTCTACATAAATTGATATTCAAATTAATTGTTTTTTTTTTCTTTCTGTCTATACACAGATAATTTTGAAACAATATGTATCTACACAATTACTTATACTTAGCTGTTTTTCTGAGTTTGGGATTACAAGTTTATTGTTTTCCCTAAATTTATGAAAATAAATCACTGCATAGTGCATTCCACAGTGCATTTTATAAGCAGCTGTGGATACTTACTGCTTGGGCTGCCTGATTAAAATAAAAGGAAAAGTTTTTAATAAGTCTTAAATTTTGTTTTTGTGAAGTTTGTTAATTTTCGCTCTATAATCATTTTTTTATTTCGCGATAGGAGTAGTTAATATAAAACCTACTTCTAAATCGTAAATTAGGATAGTAATTTATTTAATACCAGATTTATAATTATATAGGAACATTTAAATATCAAAATAATAATTTATGGGCTGACTGGTAGAGAATACCCTTAGGCATTAAGTCCGCCCTTTGTATCCCTATTTTTGTAAGGGGACGCATTAAAGTCTTAAAATAAATAAAAAATCATCATTATCGGCAAAACTATAACAAATTAACTAAATATTTCTTAAGTATTTCCCATTTTTAAAATTACTGTTTCACACTAAATGTTTTATTAATTTCTTAAATTTCAATAATAATAAACCATAAACAATACTACAAATTTTTTGTTCATCTAATTTAACCTACTAAATATACATGTGCTATAACATCGATGTTTTGAGTAGGATAAACATCGAACATCGATGTTGAGCTATCGATTACAACATCAATGTCATCATCGATATTTCTGTAACATCAAACATCCCTATCAATATACAAAAAGTACTCTGTGGACATTACATTTACCACCACAGACTAACTAGCAGTATGACCATCTTTAAGATACAGATCCTGCGTTACTTTCATACTTTGGTTAAAAACCTGCCAAACTCTGTAGTGAAAAATGCCTAAATACTGCCAACTTATTTACTATTGTATCAAACTAAGAAAAGTAAAAATAAACATTTACAATGCTATATTTTCAACAAATGAAAATTAAACATTGCAGTTAGCATCATATTCTTCATTCTTTTCATCTTTATACATGGATTTATTCACAGAAATCGTAATTATAAGACATTAGAAGTGGCATAGACGCGTGACCTTGTCGCCGCTATGATATGTTGACGAACATCATTCGCCATTTTGTGATTTAGTTGCGCGAGGAACGTCGTTAGTGAATTAATGTTATTATAATGGTGAACTGCAGCATAATCAGTTGTAAAAACTCATCAAGGACGTGTAATTCAACTATTAAGGCATAACATTTCATGGGTAAAATGATTATTTACTAATCATCATTGTTTTGACTAATTTACATCTAGATGAATACTTACTACTATGGTATTAACCTTTGTAAACTTTCATTTATTACTTTCGAATTTCATAATTACCATTGTTGCTTTTGTTCTACCGTAATACGCGACGCACGCGACGTTGACAAACTCGCCAAGCAATGTAATGACAAACATTATATCATTGTGCGTTGCGTATGTTTATAATACGGCTGCAGCAATCGGTCGCTTAATGCGTATGTGTTAAAATGTGGCGACATCGGTTTTGGAAGTAATCGAGCGCTAATTCATTTCTATTGTCTTATTATTACTATTTCTGTGGATTTACTCAGTCGATTTAACATATCCTTCGTTGGTTTGAATGCAATGCAATCGCCATGCTCACCAATGTCTTGTTTAACTTGCAAGATAGAGACTACGTGATGTTTATAAATCTATCTCGTGTTTTTATCTTAATTCAATTTATTTGAGAGAATGTTATTTCGCATGCAGCGTTGGACGTTGGTAAGCATAGGCCCTTTGCAAAATTTGTAAAAGCTACATTTTTTAAGTGTCTCTTTTTTATAGAAGAAGGGGCAAACGAGCATACGGTTCACCTAATGTTAAGTGACTTCCGCAGCCCATGAACAACCGCAACACCAGGCGAATTGCAGGGGCGTTTTCTTGAAGTTCCCTAGGTCGTATCAGTCCGGAAAAATCGCCGGTGGTAAATTATTCCACAGAGAGGTTGTACGCGGAAGAAAACTCCTGGTAAAACGTACAGTGGTGGACCACCAAGCATTCATATGGTGTGGATGGTATCAGGAGGTTTGCCGCGTAGTGCGTTCATGAAATTTGGCGGCTGGGATCAATCCGAACAATTCCTCAGAGCACTCCCCGTGATCGATGCGATAAAATACGCAAAAAGGTGCAACATCTCTTCGCAGCGCCAGTGAATCACGCCGATCGGAAAGCTCTCGGTCGTTGACGATTTGAGCCGCTCTACGCTGTATGCTGTCAAGTGGAAGGAGCTGGTACTGAGGAGTCCCAGCCCAAAAATGGGAACAGTATTCCGCGCGGAATGCGCGGCCGAACCTGCACCTTGTAAAGTTGCAGGCGGTGTGCCGGCATGAAATACTGTTCCGCTCTGCTGAGCACGCCAAGCCTTTTAGAGGCCAATTTGGCCTTCCCTTCCAAGTGACCACGAAACTGCACGTCACTCGATATGTCGACGCCGAGGGTTCCGATACTGGCTGAGGCAATAAGGGTAGTGCCTTATACTGAGGTGATACTACAAATGGGTTCTTTTTAGCGGTTAACGCACAAACTTGTGTCTTCGGAGGGTTAAACTGGACTAGATTTAGTCGCCCCTAATCCTATGGTTTGTTCAGTAAAGACTCGACTTCAGACACAAGTTTGTCCCGGTACTCAGAGACGTTTCTTAAATTTTTTAAATTTTGTTTTTTAAATTTTGGCACGGCTGGTGTACAGAGCATCACCAATGCTGTCATATGCATAGTAATGAATGATGCAGGTTTGCAACATATCATTGATATGCAGAAGAAACAGCGTTGGTGATAGCACGCAGCCTTGTGGAACACCAGCGTTAATGGGCTTGTAATCGGAGCTTGCACCGTCTACAACGACCTTGATGCTCCGATCTGCAAGAAAGTTGGTGATCCAATTGCATAATTTCTCGGGAAGACCATAGGAAGGGGGCTTCGAAAGAAGCGCTTTGTGCCAAACCCGATCGAAGGCCTTCGCAATGCCAAACTAAAGCCCTTGGACCCGTCTGCCGTCTGCCCCGCCGCAATATGATTCAGGTAGACCAAAAGATCACCAGCTGATCGACCACGACGAAAAAGTATTGGCGATCACTAATCAGCTGGTGATTCTCAAGGTACCCCATGAGCTGGCAGTTTACAATGGATTCCATTGTTTTGGAGAACAAGAAGGTGATGGCGATGGGCCTGTAGTTGGACGGGTCTAAGCGATCGCCTTTTTAGGAATCGGGTGGACAAAAGCCGTCTTCCATGATTTTGGGACTACGCCTAGAGAGTAAGAGTACCGGAAAAGACGCGTTAAGACCGGTGCCAACTCTGAAGCACACGTCCTTAGCACAATTGGGGGGATACCGTCAGGCCCAATCGACTTGTAGATGTCCAGGGAGAGGAGTGTTCTGCGCACCGAGCGTTGGATGTAACACATCCTGAATGGAGCATTCACACTGCGGGATGGTCGGCGGTGTGTTTCCTACCTACATCATTAAGAGTCAAGTTTGACGCAAAGGGAGGGCCCAGTAGATCGACTTTGTGGCAAGGGCCACTGAGAGCCCTCCCTGTGCAGAGATGGAAGAGATGGCTGACAGAAATTGCTCTGGACAGCTTTGGCGAGAGACCAGAATGCACGAGTTTCAGAAGGAAGGCGAACTAGTTTTTCGCCAATTCTGCCTATGTGCTCTGACTTTGCCATGGCAATGCCTCTTTTGAAGGACCTAGAGGTGGAATTATTCTTCTTTTTTAGAGCGCTTGTATTTATATCCCGGGACGTGGATGCGTCAGCTTAGGGTTGATAGCACTCCTGCTTATAGCATGATGCTATTTTACAGGAGCGACCAAACCATGGCTGAAATTTGCCTCCGATGTGCACCACAAAGGAAGGAATAAAAAGTTCCATACCCTGAAGTACCACATCAACGACAGCAACAACATTGGGATCGTCCGGCGAGAAGCAAACCCGCCCCAAGGGTTGGATGCAAAGAAAGATCGCATCCTAACACAATCAGCTGACCTATAGTGCCAAACACGGCGGCAGCCTGCAGAATGCAACCGCAATTTCAGCGTGAGTGGCACCACACTCTAGACAAGACCAATGAAAAAGAAAAACTCAGAAACAACTAAAGAATGTTTTGAAAGTATATTTACTGAAAGTAATTTAACACCTACTCACATACAATCTGATAAAGGTACTGAATTTGTTTCAAAAGATGTACAAAAATACTTCAAATCCAAAAAGACGAATTACTATACCACTAACAATCTTGACATTAAGGCCAGTATTGTTGAACGATTTCAAAGAACACTAAAAATGAAAATGTGGCGTTATTTCACTCATAATAATACTTATAGATATATAGATGTTTTACAAGATTTAATATACTCTTATAATCACAGCTTTCACTCTAGTATTAAGATGAGCCGATGTGATGTAAATTCCAACAATATTATGATAGTTTGGACTAATCTTTATGAGAGACGGTCAAACAAACTTTCT